AGAGAGAGAGAGAGAGAGAGAGAGAGACAGGATTGGCTAGGGTTTCAAAATAGAAAGGGGATAGACTCATGTAAGTTTAAAGAGAGAGAGATGTGAGAAATTATATTTTCCTATATTTACATATATAAGGAACATTATAATATATAGATATATATTTTATATTTATTTAATAGGAGTAGAAATGAAAACTTAGTTAAGATTGATGGCCAAAACGAATCTAGAAGAGATTATTTTCGATATCTTAGGTTGGTAATACATGAGAATGGAGAGATTGAGGAATATGCCGCGCATACAATTAGAGCTGAGTAGACGAAGTGGAGATATGCTTATGGAGCCCTAAGTGATTGCTTCATATCAATGAAGGTGAAGGGGAAGTTCTATATGACACCTATAAGAACCAACCATGCTTTATAGGACAAAATATTAGGCAGTCCAGAAATAACATATTCATAGAATGAGTGCAACTAAGATGAGGATGTTGAAATGGATGAGTAGCAAGACAAGAAATAATAGAATTTAGAATGAATATATTCAAGAAATCTTAGGGGGCAGCTCTAATAGGCGACAAGATGAAGGAAAGTAGACTTAGATGGTCTGGCTCTGTGCAGCATCGACCTAGAATATCATCGATTAGGAGGGGCAATTTGGTTCAAGTAGACTATAAAAAGGCAAAGGGAGACCAAAAGAACATTGATGGATATAGTGAGAAAAAATATGGTGACTTACTGAGCTATGGCTCTTAATAGTGTAGAATGACAGAACAAGATTCATGTAGCCGACTCCAAATTGTTCGGATAAGGCTCGGATGATAATGATGATGATACTAAGTTAACAACTTATAATAAGGTATAAGCGACCCAAACTGGTTATTTGTTGAGTCAAGGTTCTTAGACCCAGACTTGCCCTATCGGGTCTAATCTTTGTCCAAAAATCGGACTGGGCCAACCTGGTGAATTAAAGCTACCCACATGAATCAAAAGAATAATTTCATTATAAAGATTATATTGAATGAAAATGCTACATTTTACACAATTATACACATGGAGATATTCAGAAAACACAAGTCATCCTTGTGGTTGTCTAACAAAAGACTCAGGTCTCCTTCAATACAAAGAAAAAAACAACAATACAAGACATCTGAATGCTACACATGAGCTTCTCTCATGCTAAGTGAGAAATAACCCAGTATATTCTCTTTCCTAATTAAATACTAGAAAGTAACCCGCGGGGGGGGGGGAGGGGGGGTTCACAATAATGTTGTCATAATTAAGTGACATGAGGGATGCTATTCTTTTGCATGTGGAAAGGCTAGGGTAGTGGATAACCTCATCAGTGCAAATAGGTGTGTAAGCATGCTTGGAGAAACCGTAAGAAGTCAATAGACTACTAATTATAAGACTTTAACAAGAATTCATGGAGTGGATGATTGGAAGGTTTTTGGAGAACTATGAACTTGCTCAGAATCAGAAAAGAAAATGAGATATCCACATATATTAATCTTTCTAAAGAGAGATTGAATACCTAAATTTGAGAATGATCGTTGAGTTGGGAGTAGAAACAGAAAAAATAAACAACAGGCAGAACATTGCCTTATTCATAACATGTTCCGGTCATTTTGTAGAAAACTATTTGAAGTGACATTATATAGAAATTACTATTAGGCAGACAACAAATGTACTTGAACCTAAAACATGCAAGGAGGGGCATTCATAGATGGAGGAATGTGACACGATAGGTCGATCCAACTGTACGATGGATGCTATTAAAGTTTCTAAGTTGATACAAAGACAGCTCTAAAGCACCAGACAGGTTTTAGAGATGCAAAAATCAAAACAATAGCATGTCAATAAATGCCATCCAAGTCAGTAACATGGGTAGACTCCAACAACATCATCACCTTATTTACCCAAAAAAAAACATCATCACCTTAGCTTGGGAGATAGAAATTGCACTGTTTGTATATCTATATTTTTTCTTGTGAGGAAGCTGTGATATACAAATGCAACTTGAGAATCCAACATCAATGATTGACCACTCAATTAATGGACAAACATTGGCGACACAGAGAAAAACTGACAGCTCTGGAATGTTTCATATATTTGGCATGTGTGTGAAAAGACTTGCGGACAGGATGGCTCACATACACGACTCAAAGGGAACTTGATGCATGGATTAATATGAAACTTCATTTGTAGACTCATGGGGTTGAGTGAGCTAGAATTGCATGTGACCATGTCTATGTTGTTTCTTGTTTGGTTGCGCATGTGGAAACCAATCTTCAGAAAGCCAAGTTTATGATAATTGAAGTTTACAAAGTACCTTTTTCTTGGCTGGACGCATGTAAAGGGTGTTGATTTCTCTGTACCTAAATTGTCTTTTTGTAATAATTGTTTCAAGGGAAGAGTGACAACTGCCCCTCTCTCCTTTGTTTATGAAAAAAGACGGCCATGTTGTCAATCCTGTTTCTCAAGAATAGGTATGAGAACTTTCATATTACCCCAATATTTCTTAAGGGTCTGAATTTGCCCTTTTGAAATACCAATACCAGGTACTGGGCTATGAAACCGTTTTTAGGCAGTTTCCATAAGCTTGTACTAACTGAGCACAAACTAATACCAGAGAGAAAATGAACGGAACCCTATAACAACACTAATAGAAATTGGTACCAATATTTCTTAGGAACTTGAATACTTATAAGTAGAAACTTCTGGATACAGTAAATTGTAACCTACATCACACATTTTTTCCTGGTTAGTTATAAGTCATATATGAGAAATTAATTGAAAGCCAATTGCAATTACTATACCTCGTATTTACCATGTAATCATGTAACAACTGGTCATAAATGTTATTTCTAAGCACATACCAATAGAAACATATCAGTTCCATAAAAAATCATATCATCCTTTCTAAAGACCATACCAATATTCATTTCTATAGAAGTGTAACCCAAACATTTTTCAGCTTCGCATACCATTACCAGCACTGCAGAATAGTCAGTACCCCTCCAAGTCCCTTGCAACAGTGGAAAAGTTCCACAAATCTCCTTGCCATCACATAAATTTTCTATCTTTTGTAATTGCAAATCAAGTCCATGAGTTAAGTTTTCCGAAACACCTGACAACTTGGCAGGTTAAGGTGCTTTGATAGATTAGGCCACGAACCTGACAATAAGTGTTTGCATTATGGAGATTGGCAAGCTTTTATCTAGTTAAGTCTTCCACCATCCCTCCCAATGTATCTTCTACCTATTTATTATTGTGGTTGTTACTCAATTTTTAACCGCTGTTACTTGATATAATCTTGTTTTACATGCAATTTTTACTTATTTATTTCCATCAGAGGTATCAGAGTACTCAGAGAAAAAGAAAAAGAAAAAGAAAAAAGGAAAAAAGAAAAAATTATACGTATCAAAGAAATTAAGCATACTTCTCTCTTCTTTTCATATGGGAACCGTTTTGAGGATCACACCCTAAGGTGTTATTCTTAAGCCTCTTATAGTCCCTTCACTTATTTTGGGCCTGAGTTTTAAGGCCCCAAATGGTAAGATCCAGAGCAAAGCCAAAATAAGAGTTCTTCAAAAGAGCTTAAAACCAAGCTCTGGATAACACAAAAGGGATATTCTGTTACAGCTTATGCCTTTAACAACTATGATGTATCCTTTGTGATCATGTTGCACTATTCTTAGCTTTGACTTAAAGAGAAGTAACCGTATTCCCAGATATCATCTTTTAAGAAACTTTAGATTGGATGTTTAAATTAAATTTGCCGTGTTTTGTGCTTGTAGGTCCACTAAGATTTTTTGTTTTTATAGAGTCCCTCCACCTCTATATGCAACCATGTGGCAACGAGGAGTCCCATGGATGACCCTCTTATCAGACCCATTTAAGAGTCAAAACTTCCAAGCATGGAATATAAAATTTCTTACTTCTTCCATGAAGATTTCCCTCTTATACAGGTTCAATATACTACAGCCTGCTGATCATGTACCAAAGCTACCAAAGCAATCCACAATTCCTTGTATCAAGTGGGAACAAGACAATTCTATCAGCCAAGAACATCGTGCTTGGCTTATTCATCAGGAAAACAAAAAAAATCATGCTGGCGTGATAGATGGTACCTTTACTGTGTATGTATCAATGACGCTGCACAGGGAGATTAAGGTGATCCTAAGGCAACTATATTACTTGGATTCGGCCGAGTCATGTCACGGTACACTGAGTGCACTAATACAAAGAAAACACAAAGGACTATACATATCATTACAAATTACCAAAAGGAAAAAATGATAGTGGTCCATTATACCAAATTCATCTTCAATTGGAAAACATGAACCGATGAAGAATAAAAATGTACTTACTTTGAGAAAGTGACCAATCTTAAAAGTGCCCACGACTTCCTCCTTGGACACCAGATAGAGAAGTGGAATTAGGGCAAATGGAACTTGCACAGACTGGAGCACATTCAGCCATTCATTAAGAACATCAAGCGTTGACTCAGATGAATCAAAAAAGAGGGCAACAATTACGGTGGGAACAATTGCAAAGCCTCGAGTGATCATCGCTCTCAACCATTTCTTTATCCTAAGGTTGAGGAAACCACCCATTATAAATTGCCCAGCATATGTGCCTGTAATGGTGCTACTCTGCCCAGCTGCTAACAAACCAATTGCCCAAATGTACATGATTGGAAACTTTCCTCCATACTTTTCCTGAAGCAATTGACCGGCATTTACGAGGCCAATAGTCTCTGCTTCTTTTGTTCCATAGAAAGCCTTTGCAAAAACAGTCGTGACGAATATATTGATGGTGAAGGAGACAAAGAGGGCAATACTGGACTCAATGGAATAGTATTTAAGGGCCTCACGCACACGACCCTTGCGGTTAGTATCAATCTTTCTTGATTGCACGAGAGCAGAATGCAAGAATACATTATGAGGCATAATTATACAACCGACGACACCCACGGCCTCTTTTATAGTTTTGGAGCTTAGTCTAGGAATCAATAATCCTGAGGAAAACAATTCAAGAATCCCTCATCAGCTTCTTTCCATCACACAAGTCAAATCTCTCTCTCTCTCACACAAAAAGAGTTATTTGTAAGTATACCTAAAAGAAGTTCCTCGCCATCGGGACGGGTGTCTCCAAACATCCATGCGAAAGAAATCGCCATGGTTGCAATGAGCACCCCAAAGACTGCTTCCAATTTTCTCACCCCATAGTTTTCCAGAAACAAAAGCAGAAAACTGTGCAGCAGATGAGACCAAATAAAGGTAGGCAAGAGAGAACAAAGTGAAGGAAAAATAGTCCAACAGTCATATACAAAATTTTACCAAGAGAAAAGACAAATAATTGATAGGGGGAAAGGAGTTACAATCATAATTCCGAGCCAACAGTCTCAAAGTCCAAAATCCCATGCAACAGTTCCCAAAGAATTACCAAACACAAACAAGAGGAAAATAAATAAATTAATTAAAAAAGAGAAAAAGTTCACACAAGTTGAATGGAGTGATTAGCATGAGACAAAATATGAATATTTCAGTTGCAAAGAAATTATAAAAGCAAAAATTACGACAAAAATTTCAGTAATCTCAGAACCAATGCCAAAATTCTTACCAATCCCCATCATTTATTTTCATTGAAAAAATTCATGAAAAAGTGAACCCAAAAAAGGAAGCAACAGAAAAAAGAAGAAGAGAAAAATACCAATCAAAGGAGGTGATGAGCACTCCAGCCCAAAGTGGAATGACCCCATGACTAAGAACTCTAATGGCAATAGCGCTCCCGATAACCTCCTGTATATCGGCCCCAATAAGTGCAAGCTCCGCCATGAACCACAGAGTGAGCCGCGCCCACGTTGGATACTCCTCCCTGCAGAGCTCAGCCAAGTGCTTCCCAGTCGCCACACCAACACGGGCCGATAAAAGCTGGATTAAAAGCCCCATCAAAGTAGCCCACATCAAAAGCCACAGCAAAGAGTAGCCTGCAATTGCTCCCGATTGAAGATCACCTTCGAGATTTCCAGGGTCCAAAAACGCGATGCTCATCAGGAAACCAGGGCCTGTGAAGAGCCATAGCTTCTTCCATGAAAAGGGAGGCATTGTCGATTCGTCAGTTTCGGCATCAGTGAAGATTGGGTCGATATCAACCCGAACCTTTTCGCGACCTGTGAAGGCTTTTTCTTCCCATTCATCTTCCTCCGACGAGTTGGAAGGTCGCCGGAGAAGCGCACCCTCCTCTTCCAATGGGACCCCATCACTAGCCATTGTTAACCCCTCTATCTCTCTCTAAAAAAACCAGAGTTAGTCTCCTCCCACTCTACCCAAAATTCTCTCTCATCACAAGGTTCTTCCTTTCACTCTCCCAAAATATAAAAACCCAATTTCCCAATATATAGAAAAGACCCAATTCAGGGTTGTTTCTCTCTCTTCTGCTATTTAAATACAAAATTAATTTCCCAATATATATAGAAAAAACCCAATTCAGGTTGTTTTTCTCTTTTCTACTATTTAAATGCAAAATTTAGGAGGGTTCAGAGCAGTAGAAAAAAAGAGAAACCCTCGCGAAACAAGAAAGATAAATAATGGCGTCCCTCTGGTACGCTAACTTTCAAATGAGGACGTCGGAGGAGGTTGGCTTTTTTGACCTCTTGTTGCGGCACGTGCCTAGCAGGCGCAGTACGGCAACAGTGCGGCCTTCTCACACGCGCGCATGCGCCGCTCGCGTGTACTTGAGTAGCAGGAATGGTTAGTTGTTTTGTACTAGAGTACGTATGCTGTGCACCTTCTAGACTATAATTTACATGTGCTCACTCGGTAAAATTACTTAATTGGATTTTTTTGATTTGAAATTTTGCTAATCGCTCTAAAATCACTAGATTATTATTTTTTAAAAAATTAAAATTTAAGTTTTCTAACACTTGAGTTTCGACTTTTAAAGGGGCATTTGATAACCGTGTAAAAGTGGTGAAAGTGTTGGACCTTTCTTGTTAATAATGGGAAAGTAGGAACATAAGTTCTCCTCATTCACTATTCTCTTGAATGAGTCGTTTGGGACCATGGATACGCAAATCCTAAGTTTCTCTCGATATCTGGTTTTGCAGATTCTAGTATATGTAAAAGCTGATTTTGAAAACAATGTTGTTTGCCTAGTTGCGGGAAGAAAATAGCTTGTTTGGCACCATAAGATAAAACCAGGCTTTAGTTTAGTCATTCATTCTGTGAGGTGATGATTCCCTAGTAATACATAGTCAATAAGATAGGTTTTTTTGGAATAATTTATTAATAATATAACAAATAAATTAGATGCCTCCAATCATAATTTTTGATATTTTTATAGGTCGACTTATGATTCTCTCACACTCTCTTTCTACATGTATACATCCGATGATAAATTATTCCCAAATTACATCATATCTATAACATTGTACCTTATTAGATAATGAAGAAGTTAAATATTATCAATCCACCGATCCGACACAGTTTTTGGGATGGCCAATCCAAGTTACCGATCCGTTTCACTAAACCTTGCTGGAGTATGTTGAAAGAATTACTCTCTCTTCACTGCCACGCGCATACATTGCCACACGCATGCATACACACAAGGCCGGGCTAGTAACTCACTATAGAGTCTGAAGTTGGCTTGCACTATAGCTAAGAGAGAAAGTTGCAGTTAAAAAAAAACACATAAGGGGGAAGTTTAATTTAGGGAAATTATCGCAAATATACCTATATTTTTGTAAAATTAGAAACAAACCCAAACTTTCAAAAACCTCGTCTACACCTTTTCACTATTTTTTGGTTTTTTGGACGAAAATACCCTTCACGGTAGTCTGATTACCTTAAAAAACATTACGGTAATTTAAATACCATAAGGATTAGCAAATTTTATACGGTAATTTATTTACCGTAATTATTAGAACATTTTATGATAAAGCTCCAACCTAACTAACTAAAGGCACATAGGGTGGTAATTTAATTACCGTAATGTAATAACATTCAATTACGGTAATCGATATACCGTAATAGTTTAGATATATTATACGGTAATAAAATAACTGTAATGTTCTCCCTCCTTTTTTTTCTAATTTTTTTACATAAAACCCTATTTTCACGATATCTTTAGTATTTTCTTTTTTCTTAGCCTCCTCCCTCTCTTATCCACTTTCAATCTCTCTCATCCATTTTCATCATATCGTCTATTATATATCAATCTTTGAACGAGGTCTTTGATAGCTTCAAATATACACACCAACACTATTTTATAGGTATATCATCAAAATATTATGTTGTTGTTCTATAGTACTTGATATAGTTTGATTAAAATATTGCATAAATAAGTTTTATATTTATTTATAGGGTGCGATTTGTATAGAGCCTAGGCTCTAAACAACCAAATTAGAGCCTACCTTCAAATATTGTCAAGAAATGTGGTTTCAATACTGGAAATCTTTGTGATAGCCTAAAAATATATTTTCATTTTTATTTATAAAGTTTAAAGTAAAAAAATATTGTAGATCGATAGATCTATGAAAACTTGAAAATCTTGAAAATTGACAGTCCAAAATACATCACAAAATACATTATTTCGAAAAATTTAAATTCATTTGTTTCCCATGTCTTTGCATCTTGATGTCGAGATGATGAATTTGAGGATATTTGGGCATCAAAACAACCTCTTCTAGTGAAAGTTTTGGGGTAGGCTCAAATTTGATTGTTTAGAGCCTCGGCTCTATATAAACTTTTTCCTTATTTTTATTGTCGCACAAATAAGTTTTAGATTTATTTAATGGTTGGCCATCAAAATAATGTGTTTCTATAATACTTGATGTAGTTAAGTTGGCCATTGTAATTTTATGTATATTTGGTATCTGTATTGCAATCTAATGTCCCTCTATAATGCAACCTCCTCATTGTATCTAAGTATTTTGAAACTTCTTATAACTATTTTATATTTGTTTCCATCAGAAATTTTTATGCAGTGATTGAGCTTGTATGCAACAATGATGGGTGACAACAGAGTGGAAATCGTTTTACATTTTGGTGATTTTTTCAAGAGAAAATCTAATGATGGATGTATATTCTATGGTGGTGGGGATGTGAAGGTTATATTTTTTAAGGGGATCACATCATTTGACCAAGTAAAGGATTACTTATCAAAAGTATCAAATTATGCCCCAAGTACCATGACTATTAGGAATACTGCCCAGGGTTACCAAGTAACAGTAATATGATACGTATTGATGATAATGACGACATTGTAAACATGATGGAAGTATCTTCTCCCATCGCTATGTATGTATCAAATAGACCTATTGAGTCTGACTACACTGAATATCGACCACCAACAATGCCTGATAATGATCCATCAAGATTGATCATTTAAGAAGTTTGCAATGAAAATCATTAATTTTATTATTTATTAATTTTATGTTATGTGTTAAGATAATTCTGACTTGTCCTTAATTTTTTTTTCTACAACAGTTCCTGACCAGAGCAAGTAGTTCACAGTGAAGGTGTTCAAGATTCACATGATTCAGAAATGGAACGGCATATAGACGATATCGATCCGATAGAAAGCCCCCTTAGGATTAACCGTTATGAAGTTGTACTTCAACAAGATTAAGATTTTGATGATGTACAGGCATGCAGTAAACACCTTATTGATTATGTCATATCACAAAACTTCAATATGAAGTTTATAAAAAGTGAGGAGAGACGTGTATGGTCAAGGTGTGCTGCAGATGGGTGTTTATAGCACGTGTGCTGTTAGAGGGTTAATACAACAAACTTCTTTAGGGTAAAGAAATTTGTAAACATGCACTCATGTGCCGACAGAATAGATAGGGTTCATCAGCCGCTTGCCCGAAGCCACTGGCTGGCAAGCAAGATCAAAGACCGTTTAAATGATATGCCCAATCTGACACCTGGAGATGTGGTTAATGATATACAACGTGATCACAGTGTCACGTTGTCTTACCAACAAGCATAGCGGGGCAAAGAGGTTGCACAAGAGATAAATGAGGGTTCCCATGTGAAGGAATACAAGGACCTCGCCAAGTACCTTTATAAGATCCGAATCACTGACCCTGAAACCGTAACGATTATTCATATAGATGATCATGATAGGTTTAAAGGTGTGTTTATAGGCAATCGTCCATGTTTGTATGGTTCGATGTTTGGTTGCAGGCCACTTATGGGACTAGATGGGACATTTTTGAAGGGAAGATACAAAGGGATACTATTGGCTGCAGTTGGGGTAGATTCAAATGAAAATATATTTTCTATAGCATATGCAGTGGTTGAGAGTGAAATTACATAAAGTTAAACTTGGTTTCTAGAGCTTCTTAATGAGCAGTTTGACGAGAGCTCAGATTTGCCAGCATTGACTATTATATCAGATTGTCAGAATGGGTTACAAGTTGCAATTGAAAAAGTATTTCTAACTAGTGAATAAGGTTATTATATGAATCACCTTGTCAATAACTCCAAAAAGACCTATAGAAATTTGACGCTCACAAAGCTTTATTGGAAAGCTGCATGTGCATTGCCTATAACAGACTTCGATGAAAACATGATAAAGATTAAGAATGAAAATGTTGAGGCCTATGACTGAATCATGTTGCAACATCTGAAATATTGGGCAAACACATATTTTCAAGGGTGTAGATACAATCATCTTACATCGAACATCTTTGAATTATATAACCGATGGATATTAAAGGCTTGGGAGAAGCCCCTTATTAAACTCCTTAAATGCCTAAGGGTTAAACTTACGGGAGAATTTTTGAAGAAGATGGCCATGTTCCTATAATGGAGCGGTGTGCTTACACTGAATATCCAAAAGGAAATAGACATGAGGAGGGATAAGTGTAGATGCCTTTATACAGCCACATGGGCACATAATGGTATGTATGAGATCAATAGGGATAAGAAATATGTTATAAATCTGATAACTCATACATGCAGTTGTCAAGTGTGGCAGGTTAGTGGCTTGTCATGTAGTCATGAAATCACCGCTATAGATCATATGCATGAAGATGTTACAAACTTTTGCAGCGTTTATTTCATTGTTCAAATGTATCGTAGAGCATATTCCCTTCCCTTCAACCCAATTCCTGATGCACTAGATCTGCCAAAGATTGTCTATACAACAGTCTTGACGCCAGCTACAAGGCGAAAGGTAGGTCGGCTAAAGAAACGATGTAGGCAAACAATGTGCAAAGAGATTAGGCCTCTTAAGTGTAGCCGATGCGAGGTCATGGGCCATAACCGGAAGAAAGGCAAATCAAGTATATGAATTAATGTAAAGATGCCATTAATGCTAGTTCATTTTTTTTTATATGCCAATTTGTGTCTGCTGATATAACATGTAAATCAAGTAGATGAATTTGAAAAGAGGTTAATGCATGCTGATATGATTTTTAGAAAGTATGTGATCAAGCTAGTTCAATTTTATGCAATGTGGTATGTGTAAAATATGTTTAAATTCTCTTAAGTTCAAGCTTAAGATCACTTTAGTTCAAGCTTATTCAATTTTTTGATGAGTACCTTGTTCATTTTTTTAGGTATTATTTATACATTTTCCCTTTCAC